AGATTTAAGAATAAAATAAAATTAAAAAAATAATAAATAGGCCAGGGCGCGTGGCTCAGCCTGTAATCCTAGCATCTGGAGGCCGAGCGGGCGGATGCTTGAGTCAGGAGTTCGAGACCAGCCTGAGCAAGAGTGAGACCCCGTCTCTACTATAAATAGAAAGAAATTAATTGACAACTAAAATATATAGAAAAATTAGCCGGGCATGGTGGGCACCTCTGTATCCAGCTACTGGGACTGAGGCAGGAGATGCTGAGCCCAGGAGTTGAGGTTGCTGTGAGCAGTGACGCCACGGCACGCTCCTAGCCTGGCACAAAGTGAGACTCTGTCTCAAATAAAAATAATAATAATAAATAAATATTCACTGGCACCTTTTATATCAGGAACTCTGGAATACAGTGGTTAAAAGTGGAGGGGGTAGGGATATAGCCAATCTGAAAAGGCTACATACTGTACAATTGCAACTATATGACATTCTGAAAAAGGCAAACCTATGGAGACAGTAAAAAGATCAGTGGTTGCCAGGGGTTGAGGGCAGGGAAGAAGGGATGAATAGGTGGAACACGGGATATTTTTAGGGCAGTGAAACTATCTGATGATGCTATACTGATGAGTACCTGACATTAAACATTTGACAAGATCCATAGAGCATACAAGCCCAACAGTAAACCCTAATGTAAACTATGACCTTTAGTTAATTATCATAATGCATCAATATTGGCTCACCGATTGTACCAAATGTGCGACACTCACTCACGTCATTAGCAACAGAGGAAACTGGGGGGAAGGGTGCATGGGAGCTCTCTGTACTTTCCATTCAATTTTTCTGTAAAACTAAAACTGTTTCAAAATATAAAGTCTATTGATTTAAGAAAAGAAGAATGGGAAGAGAGGAGAAACACAGTCACTACCATTATGAAGACTTACAGGCGGCAAGACAGATTCAAAACAAGGAAACAAAGACATAACAAGAGGCCGCACATGGTGGCTCACGTCTGTCTGGGAGACCAGGAGTTCGAGATCACTTGAGGTCAGGAGTTCGAGACCAGCCTGAGCAAGAGCTAGACCCGTCTCTACTAAAAATAGAAAAAATTAGCTGGACGAGGTGGCCTGCACCTGTAGTCCCAACTACTCGGGAGGCTGAGGCAGGTGGGTCGCTTGAGCTCAGGAAGGAGTTTGAGGTTGCTGTGAGCCATGATGATGCCACTGCACTCTACCCACGGCGACAGAGAGAGATTCTGTCTCCAAAAAAAAGTTTTTAAAAAAAGAAATGGAAAGACATAACAAGAGCTAGTGCTCCATGTAATTATCAATGCAACACAGCAAACGGCTGTGTTGCATTGATAAGGGTGGTGAGGGGAGGCTTTTCCAAAGAGGTAACATCGAAGCCGAGAACTAAAGGAACCACCAGATGCACGGGGAAGAGAGCTGCATAGAGAGGGAACAGCATGTGCAAAGACCCTGGGAAGGAAGGGGAATCTAGGGGCACAAAGAGGCCACACAGCTGACAAATGTCGGAGATGGGATATGACACACCTTCTGATCCCAGCCCCTCTCCTTTAAATGGCCTCTCTCTTGGATACCAAACCTCACTCTCGTTCAAGGTCTCCCTGCAACCCTTTCCCTGTGGTGTGGCTGGATAGTGTAAACATTACTTAAAATGGGAACGTTCAGCTCCACTCTTCAATCAGCAGAGAAAATTCCAGGGCCTTGCTTTCCAGCTACCTTTAACATCCAGGGGGCATTTTGTCATTTGTAAGAAAGCTCATTCATTCTTTTTTTTTTTTTTTGAGACAGAGGCTCGATTTGTTGCCCAGGCTAGAGTGAGTGCCGTGGCGTCAGCCTAGCTCACAGCAACCTCCAACTCCTGGGCTCAAGCGATCCTCCTGCCTCAGCCTCCCGAGTAGCTGGGACTGCAGGCATGTGCCACCATGCCCGGCTCATTTTTTGCATATATATTTTTAGTTGGTCAATTAATTTCTATTTTTAGTAGAGACAGGTCTCACTAAGGCTGGTGTCGAACTCCTGACCTTGAGCAATCTGCCTGCCTCGGCATCCCAGAGTGCTAGGATTACAGGAATGAGCCACCACGCCTGGCCTCATTCATTGTTTTCCAAAAATATCCAACATAGACCACTCAACTCTCATTGGGAACATACATCTCTTTGCATCATGAGAGAATTTCCTATAGACTTTCTAAATATTTAGGATACATGACTGACGGTGTTATATATACTATGTAGACTATGCTGTACTACTACTGTGTTTCCCCGAAAATAAGACAGGGTCATATGTTTATTTTTCCTCTAGAAGACACCCTAGGGCTTATTTTCAGGGGACGTGTTATTTAAGTATGGTACAACCATCTACATTGATTCAAACAGAGTGAAGTCGTCTTCTTCTGGAACATCATCATCACTCTCCAAACCCCGAATCCCATCCTGAATGTCTTGCAACTCTATTTCCTTTAGAACCACTGGCCCCGATCTCTCCCGTCGAGCACTAGAGCTGTCACGGGGCAGATGAGAAGGGCTGCTCGTGTTCTTTCCCCCTGCGCCACGGCAACATGCATGAGTTGTGCAGATGCTGCATAGCCACGCCCATCATTAGGGCTTATTTTCATAGCCACGCCCATCACTAGGGCTTATTTTCATAGCCACGCCCAGCACTAGGGCTGATTTTCATAGCCACACCCATCACCAGGGCTTATTTTCATAGCCACACCCATCACTAGGGCTGATTTTCATAGCCACGCCCATCACCAGGGCTGATTTTCATAGCCACGCCCATCACCAGGGCTTATTTTCATAGCCACGCCCATCACTAGGGCTTATTTTCATAGCCACGCCCATCACTAGGGCTTATTTTCATAGCCACGCCCAGGACCAAGGCTTATTTTCTGGGTAGGGGCACGTACTTAGACATCTTGCCAGGGCCTATTTCATGGGCAGAGCTTATTTTCGGGGAAACACAGGAATATCAGCCATGGCTGACAGTCTCTCCGTGCACAGAGCACAGGGATCACGGACGCACGCGACTTCCTCCCAGCCGGGAGGGGGAAGACGGTCCCTGCCACGGTTCCGAGTCTGCTGGAAGAATCTGCACGGATCCAACCCCAAAACACAGGGTGCCCCTTTTCCTGGAAAAGAAGACGGAAGGAGAAAAATAAATACATAAACACCCCGCGGGTTTCGGTCCATATGCAAAAGCATTTCAGAACTGGAAGCGCGGCCTGCAGAGAAGAAAGAGGCGAACGTGCTGTCTTCGATGGGAAAAACAGCTGCCCGCGTGGGATGGGAGCCAGATGGGAGAGCCGGAGCCGAAACGCGGTCAGGGAACAGACAGCAGAGGGGAACTGGGCTCCCGGGTCGGAGGGGCCGGGGCGCCCCGACTTTCCTCCCTGTGGAGCGGGACCTGCGGCAGAGAAGCGGAGGTGGGCGAAGAGTCTCCCCGGGAACTGGCCTTCGTGAGGGATGGACAGCTCCCTGAGGAGATGGACGGGCGCCCCGGAAGTAAACGGGCGCCCCGGAAGTAGTGCTACAGGGCGCCCCGGAAGTAGTAGACACGCGCGTCTGTGCGGCCTCAGCCAGCCCTGGTAGTGGGAGAAAGAAAGGAGAAAGACAGGAAGAAGATTCCAGGCCTTTTAAGCTGTGTGTATGGGGCTGTCCTCTGTGGCGGCCCACCTGTCTTCCAGCGATTCTCCAGGGAGCCCGTCCGGGCGGGCTCAGACGCCATGCTGCCGCCGCCATCTTGCCGGCTGACCTGAGGCGGAACGTTCTGGAAAACTGCTGCCTCCGCGCCGTGGCTGCCTCACACCGGCGGGGCGTGGTGTTGGGCCGCCACAAGCTGAGCGCGGGCTCCCGCTCGCTTGCGCCGCGCCGGGTCAGGGGAGACTCGCTCGCGCCCCGGCTTCCCGCCCAGGCCGGCTGTGGGCCCGCGGCGGGGAGACGGCGGGCCTGGCGGGCTCGCGCGGAGGTCGGCAGCCGCGACGACCTGCGTATTGTCACGGCGCTCGCTGATGATGTGCAGGTGAGCCAATCAGCAAAGGACGGCGGGCCGCCGCCTCGCCGGGAGGGGACTGGGCTGGCGGCCAGGCCTCGCCGGCCTCTGGGCCTGGCGCCCCCATGTAATGCCCCGCCGCCCCCAGAATCATTACCCCCGCCACCCCAAACCCATTACCCGCAGCCCTCAGATCATACCCCGCCACCCCAAATCATACCCCGCCACCCCCCAAATCCAATACCCCCCGCAGGCCCCATCTAATGCCCCGCACACCCCAGATCATACCCCGCACCCCCAAAAATCTACCCCCCACCCGCCCCCCCCAAAACTATTACCCCGCCGCCGAAATCTAACCCCCCGCCGCCCCAGATCATACCCCCCCCGCCCAGACCAATCCCCGCCCCCCAATAATCATACCCCTCCAGCCGCCCCCACCAAACCCCGGCCGCCCCAAAACAACCCTTGCAGCAAATCAACCAGCCACCCCAAATAATACCCCTCCGCGCGCCCCAAATAATACCCCGCCGCCCACAAATAATACCCCACCACCCCCAAATAATACTTGCCACTGCCGAATCATACCCTGCCAACGCGCCAAATAATACGCCGTCCCCAAATCATACTGCTGCCCCCAAATAATGCCCCACGCCCCAAGTAACGCCGACCACCGCAAATAATAGCCCCGACCACCGCAAATACCCTGCCACCCCAAGTACCCGGCGACCCCCTAATGATACCCCACCACCCCAAATCATACCCCTCCATCCCAAGTACCCCACCACCCCCAAATCATACCCCTCCATCCCAAGTACCCCCCACCCCCAAATCATACCCCTACACCCCAAGTACCCCCCCACCCAGAAGCCGCCCCTGCCTAGTGCGGAGTTCCTCAAGGTGCATCAGGCATTGGAATCACCTGGTTCTTGGTCGCGGGCAGACTCGGATTCATTACTCTGGAGGTGAGGCCGGGATCCTGCGTTCCTGCCTCACCCCAGGCCATGCCAGTGCTGCTGGCCTGCCCGTCACACTTTCCGCGGCAGGCTTTAGTAGATAAAAAGGAGAAGGTCTTACATGAATAGGAAGGTAACACAGGCTGCCTTCCTAAGGCTCTACAACCCTAAGCTGATCTGTCTCACAGGGTGGCTGGGAAAATGGAGTGGCATAATTTATATAAAAAGCTTATTATATACAGTATCTTTACAGTTAAAAGTAAGAGAGCTTCAACTTGAACTGGTTTAAACAGAAAAAAATAAAAGGTACTTACTGGCTCTCATAAACTGAAAAGTCTTGGCGTGCATCTGGCTTCAGGCATAGCTGGATCCAGTTACTCAAATTATTTCTTCCAGATGCTTGCTTGCTCTTGAATTCTCTCTTGATCTGTTGCTTGCTCCTTTTCTCTTCTTTCTCCTTTCTTTCTTTCTTTTTTTTTTTTGAGACAGAGTCTCACTTTGCTGCCCTGGCTAGAGTACCCTGGCGTCAGCCTAACTCACAGCAACCTCAGTCTCCTGGGCTCAAGCGATCCTCCTGCCTCAGCCTCCTGAGTAGCTGGGACTATAGGCATGCGCCACCATGCCTGGATAATTTTTTTTCTATATATTTTTAGTTGGCCAATTAATTTCTTTCTATTTTTAGTAGATATGGGGTCTCACTCTTGCTCAGGCTGGTTCAAACTCCTGACCCTTGACGTGATCCACCCCGCCTTGGCCTCCCAGAGTGCTAGGATTACAGGCGTGAGCACCGCGCCCGGCCTCTCCCTTCCTTTCATGCCTCACTCTTTCCTGTTTGGGGCTCTGCTTTTTTGGCGTGGCCTTCATACTCAGGCAAGGTCTCTCAAATCCTTATGGCAAACACCTGCCCTCCCATAAACACTTGAGGGGGGAGGCAGGGGGACTGTAATCTCTTGGACTGACTCTCTTATCTCCCTTCTTTTCAAACCGTGCTCACCCTGGATATCATTTCCTTTTATTCACCTGTTACTTGAAAAACAAATAAGATGTATGGCCGGGCGTGGCGCCTCATGCCTGTAATCCTAGCACTATGGGAGGCCGAGGCAGGAGGATCCCCTGAGCTCAGGAGTTTGAGAGCAGTCTGAGACCAAGCAACAGCAAGACACCCATCTCTACAAAAAATAGAAAAATTAGCCAGGCATGGTGGCACGTGCCTGTAGTCCCAGCTACTCCGGAGGCTGAGGCAGGAGGATTGCTTGAGCCCAGGAGTTTGAGGTTGCTGTGAGCGAGGCTGACGCCACGGCACTCTGTGTATGCACTCTATCCAGAGCGACAGAGTGAGATTCTGTCTCAAAAAAAAAAAAAAAAAGCATAGGATGTAAACTGGCCTCTAATCGTATGGCATGGAAAGATCTATTAATATTAGAGGCCAGAGGTCTGCATTCTAATCCAAGTTTTCCCACTAACTGGCTTTGAAACTTTGGTCTGATTGGTTTAACTTCCGTGTGGTTTAGTTTCCCCATGAATAGCATGAGGGCTGAGACATCAGTTATCCGAAAGGTCCCTTTTGCTCTAAGGTCTGTGTGTCTACAATTTTGTCCTTATTGTATGCCACCACTCAGGGGCACTCACATTTTAGCAGAGACTTTCTGAGATGGCAGTGACTCGATGCAGTGAAGGGACCACCACCAGCAGAAATGTAATGAAGAAATTTGGGTAGAGGAAGCAGGAGTGTGTTTCCAAGCCGTCTAAACACCACCCCACGTGGGCGTTCACCTAACCATGGAATTTCGAATTTGCTGCTCAAGTCCGTCGAGACTGTGGCTTGGTTGCCTTTGTTCACACGAGGGCAGAAGACAAGGCCGAGTAGTCACCCTCAAGCTCACTGTCCTCTGACCGGATGTCTAGCTTCCCACTGCCCAGCCTGGCGATGACCTTCAACCTCCTTTGGGATGGTCTGGCCCGTCCTTCCACGACCTCCCGTTTAGGTTCATCCTGAGCCTGCCTGGCCTTCACGCAGCTCCAGCCTCCAAAGCGTCCATCATCTGCAAGCCTCCACCAAAACTTCCCATCCTGTGTCCCATCCCTTGCAAGTCCTACACCCTGCTAAGTGGCAGACACTGTCTTCGAGAAACTAATCGCTTCTGGCTCACTACTGAGTGCAGAAGAGTCACCCTCCCAAACCATATACGTGTGCTTCCCAAGGGCCTTGTCCTAACACAAACGAATGACCCCAGTGGTGGAATTTCAGGCCCTGTGACACATGAAGAGCCGGATTAGAAGCTAAACCTGTGAGCTCACTCTCAGACGGGCAGTTTTTGTTTATTTTATACTCCACTTCTTCCAAACTGTATTGGAGGTCACCGTGACTATTAGAAAAGGCATGCGTATCCAGTGATAGAAATTGAAGATGGGAAAACGAATAAGTCAATAGCCCCCTAGCCTAGGCTAAATATTTATCACTGAGTATAAAAATTCACCCTGATCTTCCTGCTAGCCAAGACAAAAGTAAAACACAGTGGATTAAACCACTTTCAAGCACCAGTTAAAAGGGAAAATGCTAGATTATAGTTATAAATTAGCAGAGGAAAACAAACCAGGGACTTGAAACAGGGGAAAGAATGATGGCTTAACAGGCTGCCTATTATGTAAAGGTAGGTATGTCCTTCATACGGACTTTCGGTTATGCCCTTGACAAAAGATGGCCCCAGAGGGTGGAGGGTCCCTCGTTTTCTCAGCTATGACTTGTCTGTCCAGCACTCAGTGAAGCGGAGAGCTTTCTGCCATCAGCGGTAACCAAAGCTGTTCATTAAAGTCACCTGCCTGATTTGAAGAGTGGCCGTTTGCGTTATCACCAAGTCCCATAATTTTTGCATCTCAGGTGCTCTCAAACCAACCTGGTACTCTTCTCCACCACTGCCCCCAGCCTCGAGTCGGGTCCCTGTCACCTCTCTCCCCCGAACCTAATTCACGTCTCTCCTCCTAACCCTGCGCCAGTCCCTCTGCGTACAGAGCAGCTAGACCGGAACCTTCTAAGACGCCAACCTCACGGTGCCACGTGAGGGCCTTCCTGTCACCGGCAGAGACCTCAGCCTGCCCCCAGGCCCTTCCCATCTGGCCTCTTGTCTCCCTGCCTGACTCATCTCCTGTCCCTTTCCTCCCCTTCCTCTCTCAACCGAAGTATTTTTAGCTCCTCCAAATGCCCCATGGTCTTTGCCTGGCTCTTCTTCCTCGCCCATCAGACCTCAGCGTAGACAGAACGTTTTCCACAAAGGCTTCCTCAGCCGGTCCAGCCTGACCTGTCCTCGTGTCCCGATCGGATCACTTCTGGAACCGTGTTAGAATTACCTGTGTGCTCACCTGCTTACTCCTCTGAACCTCTGCTCCATTGCTGACAAGCTCAGCCCAGCGGGGCAAGGTGGCTCACGCCTGTCATCCTAGCACTCTGGGAGGCCGAGGCGGGAGGATCGCTCAGGGTCAGGAGTTCGAAACCAGCCTGAGCAAGAGCGAGACCCCCATCTCTACCTATAAATAAAGAAATAAATGGCCAACTAAAAATTACCAGAAAATTAGCCGGCATCGGTGGCCACATGCCTGTAGTCCAGCTACTCGGGAGGCTGAGGCAGGAGGATCGCTTGAGCCCAGGAGTTGGAGGTTGCTGTGAGCGAGGCTGACGCCACGGCACTCACTCTAGCCTGGGCAACAGAGTGCGACTCTGCCGCTCCAAAAAAAAAAAAAAATAGAAAAGAAAAGCTCGGCCCCACCGTCCCCCACCTGTGCTGCCCCTCTGGCCACTCATGTGATCCTTCACAGCCACTCCACGCCCCCATGCCTCAGTTTCTTCATCACTAAATAGGACTCATAGAAGCACCTACTTTATAAAGATATTGTGAGAACTAAGTGAGAAAATTCACTCAAAGCTCGTACACTGTTTCAAGCACACAGTGTGAATAACTGTTATTATTATGGAGAGTATTATTGTGTTAAAATAGGAATTTTTCTTTTTCTTTTTTTCTTTTTTTTTTTTTTTTTGACAGAGTCTCATTCTGTTTCTCGGGCTAGAGTGCCATAGCATCAGCCTCGCTCACAGCAACCTCAAACTCCTGGGCTCAAGCAATCCTCCTGCTCAGCCTCCCGAGTGGCTGGGACTACAGGCATGCGCCCACCCACCCGGCTATTTTTTCTATGTTTTTAGTTGGCCAATTAATTTCTTTCTATTTTTAGTAGCGACGGGGGTCTCCCGTTTGCTCAGGGCGGTTTCTAACTTTTGACCTTGAGCGATCCTCCTGCCTGGCCTCCCAGAGTGCTAGGATTACAGGAGGCAATTATTTTCTTATTCACTGTCTTATGCCCATACCCAGCTCAAAGTCTGGCACTGAATAGGTGATCAATAAGTATTCGCTGGACGCATGGATGCATGTCGAATTCTCCAGTGTGGTCGTGTGCAGTGTCCCTTTTGCAGGTCCCTTGACTCAGGTCTGTGACCACCCAAAGAACCAGTGTGCTAGCACCTCCCAGTTTGTTTGCTCTGGTGTTTTTTCCCTTTACTCTGCGAGGAGAAGGATTCTGTTTTACAAAGAAGGGAGGAGGGGAGCCTGGTTGCAAAGGCCTGTTTGTTCTCATTATTAATTCTCCTCTCCTCTTCCAGGCGGAGTCTGAACGGTTTTGAATGTGCACTCATCTGCGGCAGCCTCGTTCTCTCGTTTCATGCCTGGCTGCAATTAAAGTCAAAGGCAAAATTTAAAAATACAACTTTATTACGGAGTGAAAGAATTGTTGATTCAGGAACTGGCCTATAATCTCACAACGTTACCAAAAAGAAATAAAAAAAAAGAAGAAGAAGAAGAAAGAATACCACGCTGCCAACTTGTGGGTTTGGTCTAGCCTGCAGAGACTCGAAACTCCAGAAATCAATAACTCAGTTAACTTTGCTGGTTTCTAATGCAATTACAAGCATTGGAAAATTGCCCAAATGCTCAAAAAGGAAATAAGGTTCTACTTAGAACACTCCCCACACCCTTTTCTAAAGAAATACTTGGGCGTCAAAGGCAAAATAACTGAACGGGGTGAGGCCCGGCCGTTTTCGATGTGAGATGGGAGAGCTGTGGAATCTCAGAGCTGGAAGCAGGCTCAGAGGTCACCTCGAGGCCATTTTACAGATAAGATAATCGAGGCCCAGAAAGAGAAGGCACTGGCCCCAGGTTCGCACAGTGGGCGTGAATATTGAAAGATCTCCATCTTTCTTTAATCATTTGTGTAAGAAATGTTTGCTGAGATCCTATTTTGGGCCCAGGCAGCGTGCTAAGCATGAGAAAGTCATTACTAAAGCAAACAGGCACGTGGCTCTGGCCTCGCAGGACCTAACGTTCTGCTGCGCGGAGTCAGACAGTTAACCAGTAAACCAGCAAATAAGCAGGTAATGAACGGCCAGAAGGAAGCAGACTGCAGTGAGTGACAGAGAGCTGATCGTATGGGGCAGTCAGGGAGGCGACTCGGAGGAGGTGACGTTCTCAGCTGAGACCCGGGGGAAAGAGCCAGCTCGAGGGCCTGGAGACAAGGAGGAGCTTGGCAAATTCAAGGCGCCAAAGGGAGACACACATGGCTGGACCGTAGTGCGTGACGGCCACATCCTCAGAACAGAGCACGGTGGCACTTACACTTCCCCCCCCCCCGCCCCCAACACGAGTGGTGTCACGGGGTTCATACCTGCTCAGCTCACTTGTGAAAGCACTTTTCCTTCACCAGCCAGAAGAGAGCTTGACCAGATTTTGGTTAAGAACAGAGCCTGTGGGTCGGACGAGGTGGCTCACGCCTGTCATGCTAGCACTCTGGGAGGCCGAGGAGGGAGGATCGCTAGAGGTCAGGAGTTCGAGACCAGCCTGAGCAAGAGCGAGACCCCCGTCTCTACTAAAAAAAATAGAAAGAAATTAATTGGCCAACTAATAATATATAGAAAAAATTAGCCGGGCATGGTGGCGCGTGCCTGTAGTCCCAGCTACTCGGGAGGCTGAGGCAGGAGGATCGCTTGAGGCCAGGAGACTGAGGTTGCTGTGAGCTAGGCTGACGCCACGGCACTCACTCTAGCCTGGGCAACAGAGTGAGACTCTGCCTCAAAAATAAAGAAATAAAAGAATGAAAATAGAGAGCAGAGCCTGCACAGTCAGACACCCTTGGGGACAGGCCAGGCTCGGCCCGCGTGGAGCTGGGCAAGCTGGCCAATTGCTCTGAGCTGCAGTCTCCCCTTCCGTGGAATGGGCATCTCAGGGTGGAGCGTGAAGGATGGACGAGCTCGTGCTTGCACACTGCTGAGCGCCTGCCCAGCCCACCGAGGCTCAGCCGGCTTGGGTTTTCTCGGGCTCGCACAGCGACCGGCCTGAGCGTGCCCTGGCCCGGCTAAGGTCCCGGCTCTGCAGCCCCAGTGCATCATTATCCCACCTTCCACGGTGACCCGCAGAGGCACACCTGAACGAGAGGCCCACCTCTGAGGCCCGAGGACACCTGGGATAAGCCCCAGCAGGCTGGGTGCCCACCGTCCCCCTCCAAACCCCGCAGCAGAACACGAACGGCCTCCCCGGCACGACTAGGATGCATTGCACTGTTCCTGTTTAAACACCGATGAGGTGAGGCCTGGTTCTTATTAAATATCATAAGTAAATCATTAATTCCTACCAGAAACAAAAGTATAAACACGGCCGTACAATAAACACCGATACTCCCAGGGTCTGTGAATCGCTCCAGGGAGGCCTGGCTCTAAGTAAGACACACGGGCTTAACTGGCTTGAGGCCTCGGCTGCACCGAAATCCTAGCAGGCAGGTATTCTGGAAGTCAGGGAAATAGGGTGTTCCTCTGCTCCATTCCACTGTCTGCCCCCAACACACACCCCCATGAAAGTCCTCGACTGCATTGCTCAGCGCTGGGTGGCAATCATGATGACAGTTATAGTGACAGTAATACTCACTGTTGTTTCCCCAAAAATAAGACCTACCCTAAAATAAGCCCTAGCAGGATGTCTAAGCATGTGCTCAATAGAAGCCCTACCCCGAAAATAAGCCCTAGTGATGGGCGTGGCTATGAAAATAAGCCCTGGTGATGGGCGTGGCTATGAAAATAAGCCCTAGTGCTGGGTGTGGCTATGAAAATAAACCCTAGTGACGGGCGTGGCTATGAAAATAAGCCCTAGTGCTGGGCGTGGCCATGAAAATAAGCCCTGGTGATGGGCGTGGCTATGAAAATAAGCCCTGGTGCTGGGCGTGGCTATGAAAATAAGCCCTAGTGATGGGCATGGCTATGAAAATAAGTCCTGGTGGTGGGCATGGCTATGATAATAAACCCTAGTGATGGGCGTGGCTACGCAGCGCATCTGCACAATCCGTGCATGTGGTCGTGGAGCGGGAAAGAACACGAGCAGCCCTTCTCATCCGCCCCGTGACAGCTCTAGTGCTCCACAGGAGAGATCGGGGCCAGTAGTTCTAAAGGAAATAGAGTCGCAAGACATTCAGGATGGAGAGTGATGATGATGTTCCAGAAGAAGACGACTTCACTCTGTTTGAATCAATGTAGATGGTTGTACCGTGCTTAAAAAAATAACACATCCCCTGAAAATAAGCCCTAGGGTGTCTTGAGGAAAAATAAATATAAGACCCTGCCTTGTTTTCTGGGAAACAGGGTACCCCCCTTCCCAGGCGCATGCCACGCTGACCAGTTACTGCTGCCAGTGCCCCCCATTGTCACATGGAGGCACTGTTGAAGGCCAGCCCCGCACCAGGGCGTGTGCTGGGAGCCTTGATTTACCCGGTCGTCCCAACTGGCCCCAGTGCCCGCTGAAGCTCACTGAAGTCTTGTTTTGGGCTTTAAAGTGACAGCTTTTATCAGTTTCCACTTCACACTGAGCCATTTTTCGCCTAAGCACGTACACTGTGCCGTGCTGTCGGGCCCGGCGAGTTCAGACCGTCCTCCTCTTTCTGTGCCCAAACCAGCCCCCCCGTGTGAGCTCTCAGCCCTTGGGGTTGCACGGTAATTTTATTTTAGGGACTCTGTGGCCCTGCCTCCCTGTGGGTAGGGGACATTCCAAAGGACCCCGATTTGGGAGGAAAGCGGTTAGAGGCAGTTTCTACAAACGGGGTTCCTTCTCTCCGGGGGACCAGCTCTGCATAACAAAGGGCGAGGGAACTCTTGGTAAACCACTCAACAGAACAAAAAGGTGTTCTCCATTCCCTTTTTCCGAGACAATCGGAGCCTATTTACCCTTTCATTTGCACACCCAGGGAAGCTTTTCAAGGACTTTTCCCTGACCCCGCTGACCTCCTCCGGAGACCTTCAGCAGCTACTTGGGCTTAATTTTTGCTTTGCCAGGCACTGAACTTATCCTCCATTTAGGCCTCTAATGTTCAATCCGCCCATGAGGACTCATTAGTGGGTCTCGAAAACGATTTAGTGGCTTGCAACCATACTTTTTGCCAATGAATTAAAATGGAAAGTCAAATTATCTTGTATGTCTTAGAGAACTGATTCAGGAAACTGCGGCTTCACTCCTGTGCAAAGATGTGCCTATGCTAGATGGAGACGTAAAATGAATTTCTCAGTGGGGATCAAAGTCAGAAAGTTTGAAACCACTGCTCTCTGCAAAAGATCTTTCTGTTACTGGGCCATCCTCTCTCTTGTTTGGCTTTCTCCTCTTCAACCTTTAGGCTCAACTCCAGGAAGCCTTTTAGTTTTTTTTTTTTTTAAAGTTAATATATGCAATATAGGAAACTGAAAAACACAAGAAGCAAAGAACAAAGTCATCCACAATCACAGGCAGTTTACAGTTGGACATGTCCTTCTAGATCCTAACACATACACAACATCCAGTTTTATGGGATTGAGGTAGAACAGTATATATTATATCATGCTTTTTCACACATCATGAATATATACCAGTCGAAAATTCCAAAGCTATGTGAGTATTTTGATAACCAAGAATGCACTACACCAACTCGATCTGTTAGGAAAAAATGTAATCCTGCCTTTATTGGGATAAAAATTTCATAGAAGACAAAAATGGCAACAGGCCTCTAGATAAAAGTACTGGCAGAGTTCCGATTAAAATACTGCATTCCCTTAATGCTCAATTTAAAATCAAACATAAAGCAACAAATTACACTAAGTGTAATGTTTCTAAGAGAATTCATAATCAGATCTATACCATTAAAGTATTAGCAAGAAGGTATGTTTCTATTGAATTACTTTTTTTTTTTTGAGACAGAGTCTCGCTTTGTTGCCCAGGCTAGAGTGAGTGCCATGGCGTCAGCCTCGCTCACAGCAACCTCCAACTCCTGGACTCAAAAGCGATCCTCCTGCCTCAGCCTCCCGAGTAGCTGGGACTACAGGCACGCTCCACCATGCCCGGCTAATTTTTCTATATATATTAGTTGGCCAATTAATTTCTTTCTATTCTAAGTAGGGACGGGGTCTGGGGTCTCGCTCTTGCTCAGGAGTTTCGAACTCCTGACCTTGGGTGATCCTCCTGCCTCAGCCTCCCAGAGTGCTAGGATTACAGGTCTGAGCCACCGGGCCCGGCCTATTAAATTACTTAATACATTCTTATAATATAGCCAAAAGGGATGCATATACATCAATGGCTATCATCAAAATGTAAATATGAACACATCAGCATACTTCTCTCCTTTCATACTTCCTTCTGCCCCTCTGGTGCCAACCTAGTGAACAAGTCCTGATATACACTGCTCAGAGGTGGTTTAACAATTCCATGTCCAAGATGCATCTCTTCTATCAATTATTACTTCTATCAATTATTACTAGCTCTTTGCTAGTATCTCCGTATCTAGCAGATGGCTTTAGATTATAACCATCAGTCTAGATGTGCATTTTTAGTAAAGCATCTGTTTATTGTGGACAAAGTTCATTATTTTGCAATATCTAAGCTTTGGAGATGTCTCGAGGTGACAATGTATGATAAAAAGAACTAGAGAATAGCCATTTTGTGATTATCAGAAGGTCTTTTTCTTCGAACCCCTTTTCCCATTTAGAAGTGGGGGCCTTCCAAGCTTGCTGAGATCCTGTGATACATACTCTCGAGTGCTTTGGCCACGTTGTTTTGCAGCGACCTGTGTGAGTACTCTGGGACCCTCCGCCTTCACACATCCAAACTGTAGAGACCTTGAGCTGCTGGAGGTCAAAGACCGTGTCTTTGTCTACACTGTAGTAGCCCCAGATCGGGGCACACAGCACGACTGGCATAGTAAATATTTGCTGAATGCACCAGCCTGCCCCCATGACTGGTTTGCCTTTGGCACCTTCCAGATTCCACCGGATGCCGCCGTTGATATAAACTTCTCTGTAGCCTTGCGTCGGCTCGCTCTGTGCTCATTGGTACAGCTCATCAGTTTCCCCTGTTTGAATGGAAACTCTATCAGGGCAGAGACCATCGCTTATCATTCCTTGTATCTTGAGTTCCCAGAGAAAACCTAATCACGTAACTGAGTCCCCAGAGAAAACCTGGGTGGTAAGGGTGGTTCGCTGCTGTTAATCTTGTGCTGAGCAAGAGATTAGTCCTGTCTGACTTTCTCTCTTTAACTGCGTCTCAGTTTGTTCCAGAAAGTCTTTAAGGGTGCTTGACAGGATACATTAAATGGAGTGTAAGTTAAAAGGCAATGAGAACGTCTAAGAATTTTAACTGAAAGAAAAATCAATACATGCATCGAGATTCAGCTACAAAAGTGTTTATTACACTGTTTTCATTAAAAGGAAAAAAAAATAGAAGCAGCCTAAATTAAACAATCTTATCCCCTGGAGTTGAGGGTGGGGGAGGGCATTGGGGTATAGGGAGAAGATAACCAAAATACAAATGATGGTTCTCTCTGGGTATGACTATGAAATTTTTACTAATTTTGTGTTTGTTTTTCTGTTTTATACATTTTCTAAGAATAAATTTTTTTGGTACAAAAGTATCATTCTTTGGTAAAGGCAGGTTAGGAAAGTTAACTTTCTTTTAAGTAGGCAGGTCATAAGAAAAATGCATGCTGGGCACGGTGGCTCACGCCTGTCATCCTAGCACTCTGAGAGGCCGAGGCAGGAAGATTGCTCAAGGCCAGGAGTTCGAAACCAGCCTAAGCAAGAGCGAGACCCCCGTCTCTACTAAAAAAATAGAAAGAAATGAATTGGCCAACTAATAATATATAGAAACAATTATCCGGGCATGGTGGCGCATGCCTGTAGTCCCAGCTACTCAGGAGGCTGAGGAAGGAGGATCGCTTGAGCCCAGGAGTTGGAGGTTGCTGTGAGCGAGGCTGACACCATGGCACTCTCTCTAGCCCAGGCAACAGAGTGAGACTCTGTCTCAAAGAAAAAGAAAAGAAAAAGAAAAGAAAAGAAAAGAAAAGAAAAATGCAAATAGGAAGCTAAGAATGAGGCTTATTCCAAAACTGCATACCACAAAAACTGAAATAGGCAAGTCTCGAATTTGCCTCTGATCTTTCCGGCAATTAAGGCAAAAAGGGAACCGGGATAGACTACAGAACTCCTGCCACCCGGAACCCCACGACTCTTCTTCCCTGTCGCTCTTTGAGGAGGCTCTGCTAGGCGAGGAAGCACATGCTCAGCAAGATCCAACCCCCTGGGGGAGTTTCCTGGAGTTGGCCTGGAATCTGGAGTGGAGCAGTCTCTAAATTAGACCGGCTTCCCGGCCCTTATTCTAAGGACGGCCTTAGGCAAGGTATTTAATTCCTCACTAAGTACCTCTGTTCCCCAGTGGTAAATTAATTGCTTCATATCTAAATAACTGGAGAGTATAATAGCTTCAGTGAGCAGTTACAGTGATTAGCCCATCCTAGCCCCAGGCGGGCTTCTCAGCACTTGGATCCCTCTCCCAAAATGCCCCGAGCCCCTTTCCTGGGACCAAAACTAGCACTTTGCGGGGCCGAGAGGCAGCTCAGTGACTCACCTGCAATGCTACCTCTGGTTCTTCCAGGTGTGCAAGGCAAGAAGCCAGAAAGACTTGATTGTTTAAACTTTATCTCTTCTCTAAAGCCCAAAGTGCCCAATAAAACCAAACTAGTGATTTTTTTTTTTTTTTGAGACAGAGTCTCACTTTGTTGTCCAGGCTAGAGTGAGTGCCGTGGTGTCAGCCTCGCTCACAGCAACCTCCAACTCCTGAGGTCAAGCGATCCTCCTGCCTCAGCCTCCCGAGTAGCTGGGACTACAGGCATGTGCCACCATGCCCGGCTAAGTTTTTCTATATATTTTTAGTTGGCCAATTAATTTCTTTCTATTTTTTTAGTAGAGACGGGGGTCTCGCTCTTGCTTAGGCTGGTTTCGAACTCCTGGCCTTGAGCAATCTTCCTGCCTCGGCCTCCCAGAGAGCTAGGATTACAGGCGTGAGCCACCGCGCCCGGCCGAAATCCATCCCATTTTAGACTTGAGAACACTGAGGCACGAAGCAGTTACATGCTTAGCCCAAGTTCACACCTCCCTGACCAGGAAGCCTTAGATGTACCTTAAGAAAGGGCAGAATGGTACTTTCTATTGGCCACTCTCTGAGAGCCCTAAATCTTAGGCAGTTGATCCATCCCAGTCTCTGCCCGTTTTCATCTTCTGCAGCCTCGAAACCATTCCCACGCTGGAATCTCCACCTGCTCCCGGCTCCCGGGTTTCATGTGAAAGGCCGGGTGGAGAGAATTGCTTCCCTTCATGTATGTACCTGCAGGAAACAGAGAACTGATTTCTTGCACCGTTGCATAAGATACACATGTATGTAACTACATCTGTGTGTGTGTGCGCGGTGTGCATGCATGTTTGTGACCCCCAGATCAACACTGAGGCACCTTTGCGATCAATCACAGGCTTGTGCAAAGACGAGAGACGTCTGAGTCTCCCAACGTGCGCGTTCCCAGCTGAGGCCAAACGAGGTGAACCTTGACTTTCTTGTTTCCGTCCCCACCATATTAATGCAGGTTCCTTCCGAGGTCTACGTCGCACCGGGCTTTTCACATTTTTGTGCTTTTTCGCCGGTGATTTTGCTGTTTAAAATGGTCCCCAACCGCAGCTCTGATCCGGTGTCTTGAGTCCCTGTGCGTGAGAAGACTGCGAGGTGCCTTGCTGAGCAGGTACCTGTGTCAGGTAAGTTCTGTGCAGGGGTGCGTCATGATGCTATTGGCTGCGAGGTCAATGCTAACAAATCAACGCTGTGCATCCAATAAGGTGTCTTTAAGCAGAAAACATGTAGAACTAGAGCTACATGTTGATCAGTTAACCATAATACTGTGAGCAAAGGCTTGCAGGAGCCTGATCCTGTGTTTCCCTAGCAGCAGTGACTTGGTATTTGCCTCATCAGTGTTTGCTATAACTGTATAGAACATGATTACGTGTTCTATAACTTTATAGACCGTGAATAATATAACTGACCGTATGTGTGTGTATATACATTCACATTAGGGTTGTGCTTTATTTAGTTCTCCAAAATCTGGGCTAACCTCATTTTCAAATTGAATGTTTTGAATCAGACCTTTAGAAATTGCAATGATGGCCAGGTGTGATGACTCACGCCTATAATCTTGGCACTCTGGGAGGCCGAGGCGGGAGGATTGCTTGAGCTCAGGAGTTCAAGACCAGCCTGAGCAAGAGCGAGACCCCGTTTCTACTAAAAATAGACAAAATAGCTAGGGTATCATGGTGTGTGCCTGTCGTCCCAGCTACTCGGGAGGCTGAGGCAGGAGGATCACTTGAGCCCAGGAGTTGGAGGTTGCTGTGAGCAAGGCTGACGCCACGGCACGCACTCTAGCCTGGGTAACAGAGTGAGACTCTGTCTCAAAAAAAAAAAAAAAAAAAGAAATTTAAAAAATAAATATCATAAGACTGAAATGACCTTAGACAGCCGATATGATGGTGTGTGTTTACCAGTGGCTTTCAAACAACCAATTTGAAAATTTGGGGTGAATGTAAATGTGTCTGTGTGTGTATTTAATCATAAACTAGTTTTTAAAAAAAATATTGGCTTGATACAATCATAATCTTAATTGCTGAAATTAAATGTCCAAGGAGTGTAATTGAGGAACAAAGTTAGGAACTTTCCTCTTGGAGTCCTTATTTACCAAATATCCCTGGACAAATGCAGGCTTATCTTTTTTAAAAAAAGATAAGTGGGCCAAAAAAAAAAAAGAAAGAAAGAGAGAGAAAAGAAAGGAATACCCCAAAGAAAGGCACCTGGGTGTAGATTTTCTACATAAAAAGAGGGTTGGCTACCCCACTTCCCCATTGTTTTCCTGAGGCCACCAAAGCTGAAGGTCAGATGTCACTGAGACTCCGGTTTCCATGACCCGGTTCTTCCCGACATGCTGCAGGAATGGTTGCTTGGATGGGAGAAGAGGGAAAACCTCCTTCTCGAGTCCAATAAGAGCATTTGTTTGAACAACAAGAAAGCCACGTGGGAACGGTCGCCAAAGCCACAGAAATGACACCCCCTGCTTTAAACGGGACTCTCTGCATGCCCAGCCCCAGAGGATACACTGGGATTGGTCTAAGCCGGTTGTGACTATCTTTTTTTTTCGTTTCTTTTCTTTTTTTTCTTTTTTTTTAGCACTTGCATCAGCATTAAATGACTATCTTATTATTATTATTTTTCTTTTTGCCAGTGATTGGTCTAGAGCAATGGTTCTCAACCTGAGATGATTTCTTTCTCTCTCTCTCTGTCTCTCTGTCTCTCTCTCTCTCTCTGTCTCTCTCTCTCTCTCTCACACACACACACACACACACACACACACACTACATTTGGCAGTCTCTGGAGACATTTTTGGCTGTCCAAACAGGGAATGTGCTCTGGGCATCTAGTGGATCTAGTGGGTGGAGTCCAGGGGTGCTGCTAAGCATCCTGCAATGCACAGGACAGCCCCCACAGCAAAGAATTATCTAGCCCCAAATATCGATATGGCTGAGGCTGAGAAACCCCAACTACAGGTCGACATGTAAAATAGTTCTGGACAATGAAATGTGACAGGAAAGAGATAGGAGAGCTTCTAGAAAGTATCTTTCCTCCTTAAAAAGAGGAAATATATATATATTTTTTTGCCCCTACCTCCTTCTTTCCTTCCTGGACTACTGGAGTATGAAGATGTGATGGTTGGTACCGCTGCAGCCATCTTGGCACCATGAGGGGGAGACAACACCAACATGCTGAGGATCTGTGAGCCACCACACCAACCAAGGACCACCTTTCTCCAGACTTCTTGTTACGTGAGAAAGTTAATTGTCTTTTTTTTTTTTAATGATTGTTAGTTTGTATTTTTGGCACCTGTAGTCAAAAGCATCATAAATATTACATCTACCGTGGCATATACTTTTGCCATAAAAGGTCCACATTAGGTTGACTAGGAAACAGCAAAACTTTTCCGATATTGCTCAATGAGCTGGGCTCAGTCACCAGCTAAGTGACTTTCTTTCTTACACGAAGCCCCGACAACGACAAACGACTGTATATCAGGGCTCTTCACAGGGACTCAAGAAGACTGAAAACTGTGAAGCCATCCTGGCGTCGTTTAAATCCAAGCTGTGCCACCTAGAAGACGTGTGATCCTGGGTGAGCTTGCTGCTGTGCTCCACCTGCCTCATCTGTAAAATGGGGACAATGATGGCGTCGCTAGAGGTTCAACGAGTTATCGCGTGACAAGTGCTTAAAACCGTGTCCGGCGTGCATTAAGCACTATGCTCGGAGCATCACCGTCGTTATCATTCAAGGTTTCATCTGAGAATGCCAAGGGCCTGCCGAGCAATGTTCGTATCTGAGTCTTACCCGAGCACCTGGCCACCCTGCAGAGGCGACAGCCACAGCAGCAGCGTGGGCACGGCGTGCGAGCTGCTGGGAGAGAAAGGCACCAGCGGTTCTCTCTCTCTGCGTTCTCACCAAATCCCACCGCTGTTCGGGGGCATAGCCGGATGGCTGGGGCCAACTCTTCCCAGGACATCGGTGGCACGACGCTGGCAGTCCCGCTGTGGGCACGGCCCTGGCTGCCAGAGGAGCCGGTTCCATGAGAAACACGCCTCCTGCCTCCCGTGATCATGACCCCCTCACGTGGCTGCGTGTGGATCCAGTGCTTTATCTGATGTTCTTTTTTTTTTGAGACAGAGTCTCACTTTTGTTGCCCAGGCTAGAGTGAGTGCCGTGGCGTCAGCCTCGCTCACAGCAACCTCCAACTCCTGGGCTCAAGCGATCCTCCTGCCTCAGCCTCCCGAGTAGCTGGGACTACAGGCATGCACCACCATGCCCGGCTAATTTTTTTCTATATATATAGTAGTTGGCCAATTAATTTCTTTCCATTTTTACAGTAGAGGCGGGGTCTCGCTCTTGCTCAGGCTGGTCTCGAACTCCTGACCTCAAGCGATCCTCCCGCCTCGGCCTCCCAGAGTGCTAGGATTATAAGTGTGAGCCACCGAGCCTGGCCTCCAGCTAATTTTTTGTATATACATATTTTTAGTTGGTCAATTAATTTCTTTCTATTGATAGTAGAGACAGAGTCTTGCTCTTGCTCAGGCTGGTTTCGAACTCCTGACCTAGAGCGATCCTCCCGCCCCGGCCTCCCAGAGTGCTAGGATTACATGCGCCAGCCTCCACTCCCGGCCTCCCGTTCACTTATGCAATAACAAAACCAGTGCCCCGTACTATTTCAGGGCTCTGTGCAAGTGGATGGCACTGAACTACACTGGACCTCAGCCAAATCGTATGCTCCCTTTTCACAAATGCCTGAGTCCTGTTTTAACCCAAGAAGGCAGGGCAAAAGCAATAGGAACCCGGGACAAGTCAGCAAGACTCTCCACGGGGTTGTGCATTCGGAGTGGCGCTCCTGTCGTCCTGGAGCATCAAACTCTGCAGGTCCCTTCTGTCTTGCAGACTGCAGGCCGCTCCGCTGGCGGCCATGTAACCAGCCGGGCCTCTTCGGGCAAAAGCAGCCCGGGCACGATGAGACCTGTCCTTGTGTAAACGGGCAAGAGCTTGGCCCCAACCTGCTTACTTTTCACCCTTCCTAGAAGAAACCAACCCTTCTCCCCCACCTCCGGCTGCCACCTTTCTGTTCCAGGGCAAACTGCACAGCTGCCCCTGCCTTGACAAAGGCCAGCAGGAGACACGACCTTGAAAGTGTCCCCTTGTTTCGGAGCTGCCCTCCTGCCAGCACCTCTCCAAGTCAGCCAGACACGCGGCAGGACGACTTGATAGAGCCTGGACAACCTTTTCAATACGAACCTCTTTTTACTCAATGTTGTATTCTTTGTTATTTTTTTTCTAATTTTATATATTTTTTCTTTTATTCTTTTTTTTTCTTTTACTATTTTTCTTCACCCAACACGAACTTTGACTAAATGTTGTATTCTTAAAGGTAAAAAAAAGAAAATAGGGTAATATAAATACATTTTGTGTGTGTGTATTTATATTTATGAGTTATTATATTTATATTGTGTATTTATATTACCCTATTTTTTTTTTTGAGACAGAGTCTCACTCTGTTGCCCGGGCTAGGGTGCCGTGGCATCAGCCTCGCTCATTGCAACCTCCAACCTCCTGGTCTCAAGCGATCCTCCTGCCTCAGCCTCCCTCCCGAGTAGCTGGAACTACAGGCATGCACCACCATGCCCGGCTAATTTTTTTCTTATATATTTTTAGTTGCCAATTAATTCTTTCTATTTTTAGTTAGAGACGGGGGTCTCGCTCTTTGCCAGGCTGGTTTCAAACTCCCGACCTTGAGCGATCCTCCCTCCTCAGCTCCCAGAGTGCCTGGGATTACAGGTGCAACCACCTCGCTGGCCTCTACAGCGGTTCTTTTAAGGAGATCAGGCTTTGGCTGGGCTTTCTTTACCTGGTGAGGAGGCTGGGAGCCCTGGCTTATCTGAGAGGCACCCTTGTAGTTAATCAGTGTTAATCTGACGCTCGTCACGAGGCGGTTTTGCTGAAGTCTTTGAGGGAAAATGTCAGATAACAAACAATTAGCCACAGACGAGATAGGGATGGATACAGAGAGGCAGAAGGGCTTGGTTCTCCCCTCCCAGGAAGCCCATTACAAGCTGACAAAACCGGCTATCAAAGCTCTTTGTTAATCTCTTAAAGAGTCAACACCTGCTTGAACCAGAGAGCGGCC